ATGTTTTCGAGTACATAGATCAACCAGTTCCACATTCAGATTTTACTTTTTACTTTGTACTAAATTTTTTTTAATGTTTTTTTCTTTTCTTTTATTAATTTGAACAGCTTCAGACATTTCAAACATGTACAAGATTGCATAAATCTTCTGGCTTCATTTTTATAAAGTTAAACAACAAGAAGAAGAAAAAAAAAAGACAACAACTAACAACAATGCAAAATAGATTAAACTATTCCATTGCAGAGCAGAGCATGATGAGAACATCTAACAATATTCATTTATACAAGAGTGATCCTATTTGGTGCTTTTTCTTACCAAAACTAAAGTAAAACATCATCTTGGTGCTAAATACTCAATTCAGAACAAGAATGTATATTCAGTGGTTAAGTATTGCTGTTTTTTTTTATGTATGGCAAATACAGACAAAGACAATTGTATCTTTATCGTAACTTTTTGTTTCATCTTGTGAAATCTAATTTTAGCATCACATTGTGGTCCACAGTTATTGTAAGGCACTACAATTTTGATTCGGATTCATCACGTTTTTTTTTTTTCCTTAAGTCAATCAATATGCAATTATTAAAAGGCACAGATTCATTTGAAAAACAATTGGTCCATGATATAAAATTGATACAAAAAAAAAAAAGAAAACTGAAAGAAATGTATGCCGTGTTTTTACCACATTTAAAATTTTTTTTAGAAAAGTTGAAAATTGGCCAAAGTTGTTTTCTTGACACCGAGAGTCTACGTGTCAACAAAAACAGCTTGGTTGTAATTATGTCTGTATCTGCCATCGTTGCTTCACAATCATTTTCTGTCCCAGGAGGGAGGAAAAAAAAAACAACAACAAAGAGATAAAAAGAAAAATCTATTTGGACCACGGTTTTAAGAAACGGAGCACAGATTCAAATAGAAAGCACCTTACAGTCACCGCAGGCCCACCATACAAATGCATAATACAAACCTATTAATTTTCTAATTATTTAAACAAAGCTGAGCTAAACAAAAATTCATTTAAACAGTATGAAGTTCAAATGGCCTCTTCAGAATCACAAATATTAAACCAAGACATTCCTTCACTGTAGACAACGACTGAGTTAAAGGTCAGCACGTGGCAGCAACGGTTGCACAAGCAACGCCTCAAATAAACATTTTGTACGGATCGATGCATGTTTGATCGTCCCCATATAAACCGGTGGTTGAATTGTAAGTAGGAAAAAAAATAATTAAAACGCAATAATAATTATTATCAATTAATTGGATTTGTTTAAGGTACTAGGTGATTTACTACTTTTTATTTAATTAATTTAGAGCTTTTAATTAAAACACGAGAAAGTGTAGTAACGATAAAATTAAATCACAATACATGTCTTTGGTTAAACTGCAAAAAGTGGGTTATAACTACATAAATGGTCCAAGTAAATAATAATAATAATATTAATAATAATCTTGCCACCAATTAGATTTGACTGATTAAATAAAAAGAAGAAAAAAATTCCATTTCAATTACCGGTGCTCAAAATATTGAGCATTTTCCTCAGTTTCGTTTACCGTTGTGCTATTTACCGTCTTATAGCTTTGTGTTAACAGTTTAATTTGACTTACACTTTAAATTCAGCCCGAGATCTTTTTTTCTTTTCTTTTATAAAACACATTTTTGGACGACTACCGGAACACCACTTTGGTTTGACATTTTAACACTAGACATCATTAGTTATGTTGGCTTCACAGGCAAAACAAAAACAGACCAAAGGACTCTGCGATTTAGCTGCACTATACACCACTATCCAGTGTGCAGGGGAAAAGAAAGGTAACAGATGTTAGATTTTTTTTATAATCTTTTTTCTTTTTCAATTAAAAAAAAGAAGAGAAAATGTATAGTAGTACAGGACCATGACATCAGTTTAAGTAATTTACAAAAAGTACTAAACGTCTTAAATGGATTTACAAATGAACAATTTAATAAAAAAAAAAAAACAAGTCTAAGAAGCATGAGATAATGTTCCGAGGTTTATGAAATCTGAGCTGTGGATGTACAACATTCAAACATCTAAATGTAGAACAAGAAACTACATTAATACCTTTTCCAGTAGCAGCGAAGCTTGCAGAAAATATTCAGCTTTACCTACCGTACGTTAAGTCAATACAAATGTTCTGGCAGTGTGACACAGTGATAACTTTTTTTAATTAAATTTTTTACAGGTTTTTTATTTTTATTTTTGGTGGTTACTATATCACATAGCATTTAATACCAGAAAGTGTTTAGCCTGCTTTATATGCTGTCATTAGGCCTGTCACGATAAATTTTACTGAGCGATTAATTGTCGCAGAAATTATTGCGATAAACGATAATATTGTTTGAAATTTGACAATAGTTAGTAATTATTGTCAAATTTAAGAATAAATGTTTTCCATTTTATTGTTTTGCATGTAGTACCTTTTTTCGACCACCGGATGGCAGTATAAGACTGTTTGAGCCGAAGGATGGATAGTGAGGAAGCAAGCAGTGCGTCTTTTTAAGAAAAATGTGAGGGAGGTGCTATGAGGCTTTGACAAAACGGAGGTTTTTCCCCCCTCGGGGTCAACCTGTTAGCTTAGCTGATTTTAATGATTAAAAAAAAAAAACGATTTTGGACGGTTAAAACTGATTTTAAAGAGAAACGAGAAAGGGAGGAGTCAGTGAAGAAGCCGTGTCGTCAGCAGAAAGAGAGAGACACGAAAAAACGATAAAGCCAATAAATGAAAACAAGGTCGATAATTTTCATTTATATGCGATTAATCGATTTGTTTATTGCGACAGGCCTAGGTGTCGTATAGTAAAGAAAATGCTAAAACACAACTTTTTGATACCTTTCCTCTGAGTTGTTTATAACCGATAACTGTCATTGGAGAGAATGTAAACAATGCTTAATCCCATATTCATAAGTAGCAAAAAGGTGTACTTGGAAATACATGGATTTTCTACTGAATTTAAAGATTTTTTTTTTTCCTTTTTATACACAGTAGGAGGTCATTTCAATTAGAGTAACTAAAACACAAATCCTATTCAAAATCCACCTTACAAGTAAACTACCGATTCTTCATTTACTGCAGAGATCTTTTAAGAAAAAAAAAAAAAAGTATCCTAACTGTTCAAAAAAAAAAAACATTTTAAGTTGCTGTACAAATTCCACAAGTTTGCATACTCCCAAATGTAAAACTGAAATACCAAATGTCGAAGAGCGAAGCTGCACCAAAAGAGCACCACAACCAAGAAAAGAGCTGCTGGCTGGAAGGGGGCGGGGCTTTAATTTCTACGGGATAAATCAGGACACCGGCGCTAACAATTTCAGACTGGTTTTGCTTTTCCTGCAGAAATACCTAATGGAATTTGGCCGAATGCAACAAAATACACACACATGTTAGTCAAACATATGCTGATGCTTTTGCAAAGTTAAATCCACAGAAACCTGTGCACAAGCTTCTACTACTCGTTTAATTCTATACATAACCTTTTCCACTAAGGCACTTTAGAGTTCGAGGCCGATATGTTCTAGAAGAGGCTAGATTCCTACAAAAATGACCATTTTAGGCTTATAGTAAATACAATACATGCTCCTCTAATGAATAGGCTTTTCAAATGTCTACATACGGTAACAAAACCTACTGATTGAAAAACAGCCTCAACATGTAGGATGTGCCTTACTGATATTACAGCTGCTGGTTATGCCTACAATGCAGTTTACATTTGTACTTATTTGATTAAAATTTTATAAATCTAGCTATAGTAGAAACTATTAAATACTTTGTTTTTTAATGAAATCTTAATATGTAGAACCATGCGGTGATCTCACGATAGGAAACATGACATATTTAAATGTTTCAGAGTACAAACAGAAGCTCCAGACATTAGCTTATGTAGAAAAAAAAAAAGTATAAATCTAAAACAAGACAACAGAATACCTACAAAAGTAGCTTAAAGCAAATTTCTATATACCCATTAATAAAGCCCCAGGTCAACAAAGTGCTCTTAATAAAAAAATCAGACTGCCTCAATAACTTGGGTCAAAAATAATTGACTGGTATATTAAAAAAAAAATTTATCTGTAGTTCTTTAAAGAGGAACACTTCATCTGTTTTAAAGTTTTCTTATCTAATCTGATTATTTTCTACTTAAACATTACTATTTGGCTACCGTTGACCATTTTCTACCATTGAATACTTTCGCTAAAATATATTTTATTCAAATCCTCTTGACTTAACGTAAGAAATGTACACTTCTACAGCAAATTGCTTCCACAAACTGGCGCTTTTTGCTGCAATAAAGTTGAGCAACGACCCACTTCACAACTCCGCTTTAGATGCTCTGTGAAATAATCAATTCAAAATAATTCTTTAAATAAAAACAAGGGGTTTGTATTTAAATAGCACAAGTGCTTTAAAATCAGTTTTATCCCCCCAAAAAATTATGATTATTAATACAACACACATTCCTCATATAGTTAAAAGAAAACTCAGCAATGAGTTTTGCCCATTTTATGTGCAGTTATCAGAATAATTTGTGCCTATTATTTTCCTGGCTGTCTTTTCCCTGATCCACAAACGCGGACAAATAAACTATTTAGGAAAGACTTTTGAATTATTATTTAAAGGCTGAGTATAATTGCAGACACATTGCTCAGATTACTGTTAACATTTCCTCAAGGAGTTCTGCAGTTAAAACATTTCCAATGCACTGCTTTAATGCACGATGATGCAACCAATTTAACCTTTTAATTGAATTCATACAGGCGTCTATTGTTTTTTTTTTAAATCACTGAAATCACGTTAACTTTCATTAGGGACAAATAGAAAATAAGCACCAAGTGAAGAAAGAGATCGCACACTGGTCCACGCCCATACAAACTGGGACGTGGAAAGAAAGTGCAATGGCTGACACGGTTCTATGTAATACTGAATTTAATTTAAGCAACATTTGACAGCACAGTTATCTGTGAACAGATAATGTGATGAAAGTAGACGTTAGAATTACAATATAATTTACAATCCAATCTGAGGACATGCATTTTATACATGATTAGGTCGACTAAAGGATCATGCACATAAAATGAGCATAACCTACACTGGCTGAATCCTCTGTAAGTAACTTGATTAATACTATTTGCACGGTCAGTCAAACATCATTTAATCCTATTATTCAATCACCATAAGAAAAGACATTGTTTAGAAAAAGTGTAATCTATTAGTAATTTTTCAAAAGGGCTAATTCTTTAAATAGTACCTTGATTTACTGTGTATCACCACTTCATTATTTTTGTTCTACAGTAAGGGCATTCTGTTTTGCTAGGTGCGCAGTTATCACAAAGCACATAATGTTGGCAAGGTTGCAGAACAATGCAACGATCATGCTTTTGGCAAACTATACATTTCTTTGACTGAAGCTGAAAAATTACCTGTTGAGGGAAAAACAAACAAACAAAAAAAACTGATATCAGCTGCAACCTAGGAAAACACATGACATGCAGACGTTTTAGAGAAGCATGCTTGATGACGAACACGGACGTGTAATCTGATTAACCTCGTTAAACTTTGCGGCTGCTACAAGTGAAATGTGTGAGATCTGGGCTTTCTTACCCCATCTATAAGGTCTAGGTCATTACGTAGCTGACTCTGGATGGAGTGAAGCTTTGACAAGGGGAGCTGGTCCAGCTCTCCGTAGCTACGAAGAAGAGGTGTTCCAGATGTGCGACAAAACACATCAAAGTCCCCTTGGAGCTCTTTCAGCTTGCGCTCCGTTTCCTCCCATTTCTGTTCGGCCAGGTGCCGCTCTGCCTCAGCGGTCTTCGCTTGTTCCTTCGCTTCAAGAGCATCCTTCTGGCAAGCTTCACAAGCCTAGAAGAAAAGTTAGTGCTTTGTTTGAAAAACTATAAACTTTTAAGTAGGAAACGCTTTTAATCGAGTGTGGTCTTGCAAAGCGATTGCGCTTGGAACACTGACTTGTTTGACTTGATGCCAGGCCTCCTCCCATTGTTTGATCTTCCTCTTGGCTTCATCCAGCTCTCTAAAAAGGCGCGCCACGTCAGCTGTGCTGGTTGTGGAAGTCAAACTGCTGAAAACTGGAGACGGACTTGGAGAAAAGCTGCCGCTGACGAAATCCCAAATGCTGCTAGCTCCTCCGTTCAGCCCTAAGTGACGTATTCAAACACAAACCCAGCCCAAAGTGGATTGTTAATAAAAATTACAAGTAGTTGTTAAATCCAAAATACCTCCTGTTTTTTTTCTTTTTTACTTGAAGTTGCTTATTTTGAAATAATTGCGCGAATGATCTCAAGCTTAGAAAAAAAAACAATAATCTATCGGCTCACCTAAAGAGTTTTGGGATGAAGAGGTGGGCGTTCCCAGTAGGCCATGCTCCTGCTTGGCTAGCATGCTTGAAGGTTGGTTTTGCTGAGAAACGGTCCCAGAGAGCAGGGACTGAGACAAAGACTGGGAAAGGGAACTTAGAGGGGAGGTGGAAAGTGAGGATGAGGAATTCAAAGATGATGATCGTGCCAGGGACCCTGGAATGTTAACAGGAGCAGATCCACCCAGCATCCTTTGATCTGATGGACAAACACGTGATTGTTGCATTATAAATAAACAAGTACATCCGAATTTGTTCATATGATCTAACAAACAAGTGTTTAAATGCATACTTGCTAGTCCTAAACTGTGATCTTGTTCCTCTAACTCCTTATCAAGCGATGCAACGTTGATGTCACTGAACTTCAGGTCCAGCGCTGATCCTGATGGGAAACGAACTCAGTCAGGCGTCTGACAACAAACAGAGGAAGCTCCGCCCTTTCACCACGCAGGTTTATATCCACTTACCTATGACTGACTCCACCGTGTTGCTCCCTGGATAGAATGGAGTTGCTTTTGCGTTCATTGTTGATAAGGTGGTGGGTGAGGAATTATCCGAGCCAATACTGGAGGCCAAACTTGATGTGATGCTGGACGTAAAGCTTGAGGCCAAAGGCTTCACCGGAGAGAATACAGTGTTTTGTGTCTGGAAGTAAGAGAGAGAGAAAAAAAAAAGGTTTAATTCTCACATTGTTGACCAAAACCTTACTGATGAAATAAAACACTATTAACTGTAATTTCCAGACTACTGAGCACACCCGAATATAAGCCACGCCCACACACACACAAAAAAAAGTACATTTAGGCCGCACTTGTGTATAAGCCGCGGTGTCCACATTGTAACACGACTTATTTACACAAAGCTTTTTTTAATTTATTTAATTAAATGCGTAACGGTAACATGCACAAATACGTGCAGTACATGTTTTTTTCTGAACGATGTCTGTAACACGGCTGGTAAAAAAATAATAATAATAAAATACAGCAGCCTACCAGAAAGTCACTGATCACTATCTTACATCTTCAAAGGGAGGGGGGAAACAAAGTCCCACCCTCCCCAGTGGACCAATGAAACCAAGTTTCACTAGTCCACTGTGACCTGTTTGGTAATTTCATTGGTCTTTTTTTTCTACCTTTATTTATACAGGTAATCTCATTGAGTCATGAGGACCCACCCCCCCAAGAGAGACGTGTATTGAGCAGCTATGTGAGAGCCCGGGTGTGACGAGGCTAAATGTTTTGCTGGGATGAAGCTTGTCACAATAACACATTTTGCTGGGCGATTAATTAGCTCAGAAATTATTGCGATAAACAATATTTGAAATTTGACAATAATTAAAAATAATTAATAAAATTAATAAAAATAATTACTAATTATTGTCAAATTTAAGAAGAAAATGTTGGTTAATTTTTGTGTGTAGTAACTTTTTGACCCCTGGATGGCAGTATAAGACTGTTTGAAACAAAGGATGGATAGTGAGGGAGCGAGCAACGTGTCTCTCTAAGAAAAATGTGAGGGAAGCCCCTTGATGCGACATGGGCTGTCACTCTTTTCTTTTATTCAGTTCTCAAAATGGCGGACGCTCGGTGTGGTTTGAGCTATTTAGCATAGCAATTTTCACACAAAGCTTTTAATAAAAATAAAAAAAATCAGTAAGCAAGTTCTCAGCTTCTTTTTGCAGAGAAAAAAAACCTTTTTACACAAAGGCACGGGTTTCAACCGTGAATTTTGGAGCTTTGAAAAGAGGGAGGTTTTTTACCCCCCGAGGTCAACCTGTTAGCTTAGCTCGTAGCTTAGCTTCTCAGCTTAGCTGCTTTTAACGAGCCAAAAACGCGATTTTGGACAGTTAAAACGGATTTTAAAGAAAAGAGGAAAAGAGAGGAAGGGAAGGGTCAGTGAAGAGCTCCGGAGCTGAGTCTCTTGTCATCCAGTGTCTTCAGTAGAAAGAGACACACACGAAGAAACGATAAAAGCCGAAAAATGAAAATGAGGTCGATAATTTTCATTTATCATGATCTGTTGTTTATCGCGGACAGGCCTACTTGTTAGCTTGTCCAAAAAAAAAAAAAAAAAAATCCATAAATTTGCAGCACCACTGAATAAGCCGTGGTGTTCAAAGCGTGAAAAAAGTAGCAGCTTATAGTCCGGAAATTACGGTAATAACGTCAGCACTATGAAAAAAAACTGTCAAATACACAAACCTGCTTTTCTTGGTCCATTAGTTTTTGATCCATATGTCCTTTGCTCTTAATCTAAAATGATGAAATGACACAAAAACAGCACATTTTCAGAAAAGTATTATTTTCCTACCTAGTTAACCTACATTAATTAAAACACGATGATACTGTAGTTAGTGGCAGGTTAATAAACATATGGATTTTTTTTTTTTAAAAATTTTACCTCCAATGATCTTTGTAGCTCGACTTCACCTGCCTTTTATAATCTACAGATTTACTGTGCAGCCACAAATACCTCCAGCCATCCAAATATGTTTTTAGGTCAAGTTTAATAATAAACATGGACCAGTGGAAGGTAAAAATATTCACATTTCAAGACTCTTCTTTATTAGTCCGGGGTATTTATTTCACCACTCAACCATTAGTGTTTTGATTGTAATTCAGAAAATATGACCGGTGTCATAATTGTGGAGTCTGCATCGTTTCAGAGTTCCGAAACACAAAAGGACTTATTATGGACAACAGATAATTATGGTATAATTGTCATAATTATTATGGCGTTAATGATGAAATTATTTTAAAAGATTAAAAAAAAAAAAAAAAAGTATATAAAAATAAATAGTGATACAAAATAAATGCCAGCCCTATGCTGTCTTGAGTTTTATTCTTCCTAAGTCTGAGAAGTGCAGTCTGTGTACCTGATCCTCACGTTCAAAGCCCGGAGCTTTGGGATAGTTAGACGTCAGAGACGAGACACTTGATGTGGTGGACTCTGAACATAAACTACTAATAGTTAGAGATATGGGCCGGCTGTCGGACCCCACTGGGGATAGCAAACTGTCGCTTCCTGAGCTTGGTGTTATGGATGCGTTACTAGAACATGAAACCTGAGAAAGAGAAGGGCATATGATCTCAAACAAACGACGATCAAAAATAATAAGTCCAAGTTACGACAAAATGACAAATACTTAAAAACGCAAACGGAAGAACGAGAGTGCGCACAACAAGGAAAAACTCTTGAAATCCAAATCTTTGGGGTGAGTTGGCTGTGATCAAATTTGAGATTACAGGGATGAAAAACAAATAAATTTAAAAAAAAAAACAGAGAAACGTACACTTCCTACTTGTCCGTTGCTACTGGCTGCACTGGCGCTGCAGTTTCCTCCACTGTTCCACTCACTGATTGGACACTCAGGAAACTGCTGAGAGCCCAGCTGGGACTGTGAACTGGACTGGATCGCTGTTAGCAAGGAGTTCATGGTCTCCTCCGTGGAGGGAATTCCTAAAGATTGACGGAAATCAATCAATCCAAACTGCTGCTAACATTTATAAACATCGTTTGTTCGTGTAGTTTTTGTTCAGCTGTCAGTGTTTCTATCTGGCAACTCAGACAGGACCAAACAAAACTCATTCAGCTATTGCTTGAAAGAGCTGTATAAAAAGTGGTCATTTATAAAAATCAGATACAATGGACTTAATTTTAAAGATTTAAGAAAGAAAAACGTGTAATTCTCCACAAACGTACTTACTTTCTACGTGCGCAAATGCACAAAATGGTCCTCTGGGACAATATCCAGTTTGTCGTTTATCATTGCATTTTGTAGACTTATAGATCTGTGATAAAAAAGATTATAATAAAACCACAAATTAAGTAAGACCTCTACTAGACCAGACTACCAGACAAAAGCACAACCCAACCAAAACGTGTTAATTCTGATATTTTCTTCTGCAACAATCCACGTTCATGAATTACAATCCAACTGGTCTGATCTAAAGATTTCTACGAACATTTTTCAGAGAAATACCTAAAATGTATCGTGAGCGAAGCCGAACACGTTTCACTCACCTCCGGGTGAAACTGTTGTTCAGTACGAGAGTGACAATACTGGCAACTGTCTCCACTGTCGCACTTTGACGGCTCGCCCCATTCATCCCCATGTTTCACGTTGGGGCAGGGTGTTGACCTGCATCAGCACAGCCACGATCTTAACGCTTGCTAATGTAATTGCACACTATAATATTTCCATATTTACTCACCTGTACTTATACTTTCTAGGATTTCGTCTTCGATCCCTACTGTTGTGGTAGTGGGGGCATGCATAGCCCTGTCTGCATAGTCTTGGTGGCTTGGTACACTGATCTGTTTTATAATTGGCTAAAACAAAATTGGTATCTGCAAAATGAGAAACTGTATTAATAGACCATTTCTTTTTTTGGATTAAAGAAAAACCAGTTTGTTTCCTTACAACTGGACTCTAGTTGTTTTAGGGCTGAATCCAACCTTTTCCCATTTAACTGGGGGTTTCTCACCTTTCCATCTGGGATCTTCTGTCAGCGTTTTCTCAATCATTGCTTGGCTGGCGAGCACACCCGGCTGCAAATCAGGAATACCTTCCCCAGATCCCAACTGACCGTTCTGGAGAGCCTCTTGTGCTTGAATCTCCCTGTAAACAAAGATTTAAGAAGGTAATCTCAACTTCTTGCTCTTCAAAAAAAAATAAGCAATTTAAAAAAAAAACATCCTTTAACTAAGAAAATTGGACAATAATATACTTCACTCAGTTATTAGCGCTAGAAACGGTTTATAAAACTGGTTTGTTTGGTTCCTTTGAGTACAAAGTCAGAACATTAGCAGACATGAGAAAGGTTACCATTTGCTTTGTGTCACCTGATATCATAGACTGGAGGTCGGAGATCATGTGGCCCGTGAGCAAAAGCACAGTGGAGGCCATTCTTTACACAATGCCCTCGAGCATCTGTCTCATGGATACAAGTGCCCGTCTTGTAATACCGTAGATGGTATTTGCGCTCTGTATCACCAGTGGTCCGGTGTAGATAAGGGCAGCTATGGAAACAAGCACGCACAAAATGTACAAGTCTCACCAGTTGGTCAAAATCAGATTGATAGAATCAACAGGACATATCAACGAGCCGATTTGTAAATGTATCCCAGGCTTAAAATATTTCCCAAATAAAGCGTTCAGCCCAGATGTTGGAGGTGCAAAACAAATCGTGATTCAAAGTTTAACACATTATTGTAAAATGCTGCATATCTAATCTGGGGATTAAATGAATCAACCTAGATTTGAAATTTGATGGGGGAAAAAAAAAAGGTATGAAACTACTATGCTGCAAGAAAAGCGTGACCAGTAAGCCTTTTTTCTAAGCCAGCCTTTTTCTTGAGCAACAGTTGCTATGGCAACACAATGGGTCACACAAAATACCTTATTTTAGCAGAGAAGCACTGGTGAGGGTTTAATATATTGTGCATCTTCCATTAGTTTAATTGGTCAGGTTTTTTTCCACATTTTTCTTGCACTGATCTTTTTTTTTATTAAACCACACAAAGAAGCTGAATTTATAGGCGTCCCACATTTAGTACTTTAAAAACTTTTTTTTTTTTTTTGTTTGGCCTTTGTATCAAATGTTCAGAAATTTCTATCCTTTAAAACTAGAGCCTTAAAATGTCCAAAATGTTATCTTGCAAAAAGCACACACATGTTATCTTGCAAAAAGCACACACACACACACACACACACACACACACACACACACACACATAT